TGAAAATAAATTGTCTGTATCTCTCCTTCTGGACTTCCATTCTGTGTCTTTGATCTGTTTGTCTAAATTTACACTAATATCACAAAGCCTTGAAAGTGTATCTTCATAAGTCTTGTAATCAGGTAACATTAGTCCTCCAACTTTGTTCTTCTTTTTCAAAGCTGTTTTGGCTATTCTAAGAGCTTTACATTTCTATATGAATTTTAAGAATTAGCTTGCCAAATTCTACAGAAAATTCTGCTGGGATTTTGATCTGTAGACAAATTTGGGGAGAAGTGATATCTTAACAATACTGAATCTTCTGATCCATGAACCCTTTTTAGCTCTTCATTTATTTAGGTCTTCTTTAATTTTTCCCAGGAATATTTTATAGTTTTCAGTGTGCAAGCCTTTTACATATTTCCCAATTTATTCTAAGTATTTTATACTTTTGATGCTAATATAAGTAATATTTCTTAAAATGTCAACTTCTAATTGTTGATTGCTAGATATTAGAGATAAATTAATTGATCTTTTATCCTGAAAACCTGATAAACTCACTTATTAGTTCTAGTAAACTATTTATAGATTCCATCAGGTTTTCCACATAGATAATCATTTTATCTGCAAATATAGTTTTGCATCTTCCTTTCCATTTTGAATAGATTTCTTTTTCTTGATGTATTGCACTGACTGGAACCTTCAGTGCAATGTCAAATAGAAGTAATGAGAGAAGACATCCTTGCCTTTGTCGTGATCTTGAAGAGAAAGCACTTGTCTTTTGCCATTCAATATGATGATTTAGGTTTTTTTGTAGAAGTCTTTTATCAAGATGAAGAAGTTTCCTTCCATTCCTAGTTTGCCAAGCATATTTTTTTAATTGGTAATCAGGAATGGGTATTAGATTTTTCAGATACTTTTTTCCACCTATTACAATGATTGTATGATTTTTTTTTTAGTTTATTCAGTTGGGTAAATTACACTGATTTCCAAATATTAAACCAATCTTGCAATCCTGAGATAAACCCCACTTTGTCATGATATAACATCTTTTCATATATTGTTGGATTTGATATAATAAAATTTTGTTTAGAGTTTTGTTATCTGTGTTCATGAGAGATAATTGGTCTGTTTTTTTTTTTTTCTTGTAATGTCTTTGTCTAGTTTTGAAAAAGCAAAAGTTGGCCTTAAAAATGAGTTGAGAAGTAGCCCCTTCTCTTCAGTTCTCTGATAGAGTTTGTATAGAATTGGCATTATTTCTTCCTTAAATGTTTGGTAAAATTCACCAGTGAAGCCACGTGGGTTTGAAGCGTTCTTTGTGAGAAGGTTGTAAACTACACACACTGTTTCTTTAAGTTACCATTTTACTTTAAGTAACTTAAAGTTATCTTTAAGTTGCTATTTAAGTTACATATTTATTTTTGAGTAGTTCATGTCTTTTAAGAAATCTGTCCATTTCATCTTGAACTTATTGACATAAATTATTTTATAATATTCCTTTATTCTTTTAACATATGTAAAATTCATACTGATGTCACCCCTGTCATTTCTTTTTTTTTTTTTTTTTAAGATTTTATTTATTTATTTGACAGATGGAAATCACAAGTAGGCAGAGAGGCAGGCAGAGAGAGAGGAGGAAGCAGGCTCCCCACTGAGCAGAGAGCCTGAAGGGGGCCGAGACCCAAGCCGAAGGCAAAGGCTTTAACCCACTGAGCCACCCAGGTGCCCCACCCCTGTCATTTCTGATATTGATAATTTGTGTCTCCTCTTATCTTTTCTAGGTCAATATGGCTAGAGGTTTATCAATTTTATTTACCTTCTCTAAAAACTGTCTTTTCATTTCACTGACCTCTCTATTTTCCTGTTTTCCATTTTCTGCATTTCTGCCTTGATTGTTATTATGCTATTCCTTCTCCTTACTCAGTGATTAATTTTCTTTTCTTTTTCTACTTTCTTAAAAGTGGATGCTAGGGAAGCTGAACCCTGTGTTAGCAACATCCCATATGTTGATATGTTTTCAGTTTTAGTCAATACAAAATAGTTCTTAATTTCCCTTTTGATTTCTTTGATGCACAGGATTACTTAGAAAGTAATTAATTAATTAATTAATTGGAAAAAAGTATCTGAAAAATCTAATACCCATTCCTGATTACCAATTACAAAAAAATAAGCTTGGCAAACTAGGAATGGAAGGAAACTTTTCTAACTTGATAAAAGACTTCTACAAATTGTTTAGTTTCCAAATATTTGGAGATTTTGAAAAATCTTTAAAAATCTGTTAATTTCTAATTTAATTCCATTGTGGTCACAGAACATATGTTGAATGACTGAAATCTTAAATTTACTGAGGCTTGTTTTATAGCCATGAATTCTGGTAATAGATGAGATAATGGTCTATTTTGGTAAATATTATGTGTCTACTTGGAAAAAAAAAACATGTATTCTGATTTTGGGTGGAGTGTTCTATAAATGTCAATTAGGTCAAGTAGGTTGATAGTGTTGTTCAAGTCTGCTATATCTTTACTGATTTTTTAATATTTTTTTTCTGTCAATTGTTGAGAGAGGGATATTGAAATCTCTAACTATAATTGTGTATTTATTTGTATCTCTTTGCCATTCTCCTTGATATATTTTGAAGTTCTGTTATCAGATGGATAAATTTTTAGGTTATTTATTTTTTTATTTGTTGACATTTCTATCATGATGGAATAATCTCCTTTATTCTTGGTAATATTCTTTGCTGAAATTGACTTTGTCTTATAGTAATATAGCCACTCAAGTTTTCTATTGATTCATGTTAGCATAGCATATTTTTTTCCATACTTATAACCTATTTATATCTTTCTATTGAAGATGATTCTTGTAGACAGCATATAGTTGGTTTGTGCTTTTTTATCTAGTGTGACAACTTTTTAAATTAGAGTGATTATACCATTTATATTTAATGTAATTATTTTTATGATTACATTTAAAGCTACTGTCTAATATTTTCTCTGTGCCCCATCTGTTCTTTGTTTCATTTTTTTTTCTTTTTCTTTCTGCTTTTGGATTGACTGAGTACATTTTATTATTTTATTTCTTTGCTAATTAGTTACAACTCTGGTTTTGTTATTTTATTGATTGCTTATTGGTTTGTAGTGTTCATCTTTAACTTATCATAGTCTATCTTCAAATGATATTATATGAATTCATGATTGGTATAAGAACCTTCCAATATATATGATACTTCCATTTCTCCCCTCCTGGGCCTTTGTGCTACTGCTTTCATACATTTTACTTTCAGTTATAAACAGCACACCATATTATTTTTTTTGTTTAAACAATAAGTTAACTCTTTTATTGAAGTATAGTTAATATAATATTAGTTTCAGATGTACAACATAGTGATTCAACAATTATATATGTTATGAAATGCTCACAGCATTAAGTGTATTACAGTATTATTGACTATATTCCCTACATTGTACTTTTCATCTGGTGACTTATTTATTTTATAATGGGAAGTTTTTACCTCTTAATCCTTTTCACCCATTTTGACTATATCCCCACCCTCTCTGCTTTAGCAACCATGTTTGTTCTCCATATTTATGAGTGTGTTTCTCTCTTTTTTATTGTCATTGTTTGTTCATTTGGTTTTTTTTAAGAGTCTACATATAAATGAAATCATATTATATTTGAATATTTAAATAGTAAGAAATATCTTACATATTTACCTATGTAGTTACCAGTTCTAATGTTCTTCATTCTTTTATGTTGATCCACCTTTCCACCTGGTATCATTTTCCTTCCACTTAAAAATATTTCCTTTAGCATTTCTACAGTGTAAGTCTACTAGTGATGAATTCTTTCAGCTTTTGTATGTCTCAGATGGTCTTTTTTTTTGCTTTTGTTTTTGAAAGATCTGGCTATAGAATATTAGCTTGATAGTCAATGGGTCCCCTCTCCTCTTCACTGCTTTAAAGATGTTGCTCTACTGAGTTCCATTATTTCCAACAAGAGATATGTTGTCATTACTGTCTTCGTTTCTCTATATGTTATATGTGGTTTTTTTCCTTTGGCTGCTTTAAAGATTTTCTCTTTATTGATGGTTTTGAGCAGTTTGATTATGATGTGTCTTTGTGTAATTTTGTCTGTGTTTCTTGCGCTTAGAGTTTACTGACCTTTTTGGATTTATGGTTTATTGGGTTTACCTGTTTGGAAAATTTTAGGGTATTATTTTTTCAAAATTTCTTATATTTCCTCTCCTTCAGGGTAAGTACACATATATTAGGCCACTTGAAGGGGTTACATGACTCACTGAGTTAAGTAGAGGCATGGGTTTTTTAGTTTGGGTTTTTTTAACATGTGAAATACAGTTATAACTTTTTAAAAAGACTTATTTACTTATTTGAGATAAAGAAAGCAAGAGTGATTGGGACAGAGGGAGAGAGAGCAAACTCCATGCTGAGCCAGGAGCTCAATGCGGGGCTCAATCTCATGACCTTGAGATCATGACCTGAGCTGAAACCAAGAGTGGGACACTTAGCCAACAGCACCACCCAGGCACCCCAGTTACAACTTTTTAAATGTCTTTGTCTGCTAATTGTAACATCTGTGTAGATTATTGGTTTGTTTTGATTGATTTATATCCCCAATACAGAACATATTTCAGACCTTTCAGACTCTTCTTAGAAGTCTGCCCTCTTCCTGTGTACTATCAACCCAAAGTGAGACTTTTGGGTTGGAAGGAGATACTTCTGAACTAAACTACTGATCAGTGTCACCCAGTTCTCATCTCTATCTTACTCTAGGCATACCATACCCCCTACTATCCTTACCTTTCTGTTGGGCACCTCTGTCCTGTCTATTTATTTATAATATTCTAGAGCAGCAGTTGGCCAACTGGTCCCTGCCCAATCATCCAGGCCATATGCCTCAAGAATTCCTTTTTGCACAGCCCTGTGATGCCCTTGGCCTGCCTCTTCTACCTACTCAAGTAACTCCTTTACCACTAATTTAATTACCTATGTTTCCATTTATAGGATTTTGCCTAGCCGTATGGCCTGCTGTCTCTGTCAATTCAAAAATAATATTGAGGTTGTCTGCAAGACAGTCAAGCTGCATTGTGACAGTGAATGTATGACAAATGCCACACATTGTGGTGAGTCTGAATTGCCTTATGATAAACTTATAAATTTTTATTTAATTTTTTATTTTTAATCAACAATGATAAAATTTTTAAGTAATGTCACTGCATTATTTTTATTCATTCAGAGTCAAATCCCTAAATCTCTCTTTTTTAAAAAAAAAAAAGAGTTATTTATTTGAGAGAGAGAGCATCAAGTCGAGGAAGGGGCAGAGGGAGAGAATCTCAAGCAGACTCCCTGCTGAGTGCAGAGCCCAGTGCGGGGCTCAATCCCATAACCCCGAGATCATGACTTGAGCCAAAACCACGAGTCATACACTTGAGACACCCAAGTACCCTCAAATCCCTAAATTCCTAAGAACTACTCCTTTATTAAAAGTTAGATTCTCAATTACCTTATTAAATAATTACCCCCAAATGCAAAATTGTTCATATAGTGCACTACAGTTTGTAAACTTATATTATATGCATTACATCTCAGGTGCCCTTTGTCTTATAGGACAGAAAAAGATATATTTTTGTTTATTTCGTTTATTTTTACAAGTTATATTATAAGAGTAAAAGTGATGCTGATTTATAAAAAAGTTGTATTCAGAGCCTGAAAGTTTCTGTGTTCCCTAACCAGAAGCTGCTACCTTCTAATGGAAAGAGAGGGCTCTTCTATTCTTGAACTGCCCAACTCTGAACTTGTTCTGAATCCTAAGCTCTTCTGTCCAAAAACACTCAGGTGTTAAGTATTTTTCTGTATACTATGTTTTATTGTAACTAACTTGATGACTTCCAAAATGTGCTTTTGCACCCGGATAGCTGGAATATGAGTCCCTATCAATGATCTATGGTACATCAGAAATAACACTGCTATTTCTGTAAATACAGTGTTGCTTATTTTTCAAAACAATTTTTTACCAATTCTATTACTCCCTTCTCCCTTAGAGTTGGGGAGAAGAGGCATGTTTAATCTCCTTTTACAGGTGAGGAAAACTGTGACCAGAGGTGTTAAGTGCTGTAGCCTAGCACTCAAGTGTCTTCTTGTTTTGGGCTCTCAGCAAGCCTATTGCTTCTTCTTTCTTGTGACCCTTATTACCTCCTCCTCTGACCCTCACCACCACCACTAAAAATACTTCTATTTCTCCTGGAAAAGAAACCCAGCTGCACAATGCTCTGCAGTATACACAGCGGCACACTTGACCTTCAGGTAGTTGGAAGCTCTGGATGATTCCCTAAGTAAACCTAGAAATATTAGAAATGAAAGTGAAATAAGCATCTGACTAACGTTTCTTTATCCCTTCTGCATTTTAAGATCTCAAGTATCATTCCCTTAATTTATTGAACATTCCACATTGGCACATCTCTCATACCTGGGAAATTTAACCTACATCCCAGATCCCTGCCCACATTTAAACAAAGAGCCAGAGTAGACATAGTGGGTTTTTTTCTGATTAGAGCTTATGTTATATGAACTGCAATATATGGGAGCAGGGACCAAGCAAGGAATTGGTGGGTAGGTAGAGAAGGCATATCCAGATGAGGACCTATAACAGGGGGTGCAGTCATGGGCATCTGTGATGGCAGTAAGAACACAAGCACACTGAAGAAAGGAAGGAAGACACCTCATGCTCTCTCTGCATCTGAAGCAGGACAGGATGGGGTATATGAATGCCAGGAGTCACTGTAGATCTGTGCACAGTTTAGCTGAGTGTCTGCCAGCCTTGACTTTTTTTGAGTCCCGATGGGCAATCGGGCCTTGGGGACCCCTGGAATTATCCCAAATATAGTTATTCACACTATGGAAATTTCTGAGTAAATGTTTTTTAAAAAACATCCTTTTCTCCTTTTGTTGTTGCCAGTCATAGATTCAAGTTTGAGTTTGTCTCCTCTCTAAATGGTACTAAAATATTAGCCGATTCTTAATTTATTTGACTGGGATATAGGACTGTCGACTGACAAAAAGCTGTACTAGCAGTTTTTCATTATCAAAACTAGTCTCTTCTTTGTTGATAGATGAAGAAGTATCTATAAGGAATACAGAAGGCTCATTCATGAAGGTATTGAAAGCCCGGAAGAAGAGCACCAGTACTGAGCTGACTATTGAGCCAGAGAAGGCATCCTCAGACAAAAATAGTGTCAGTCTAGCCTTTATCAATGAGCAGCTAGACTTTAATGATGAAAGTGATGTTATTAGTGCGCTGAATTACATATTGCCTTATTTCTCAGAGGGAAATCTAGAAGATGTAGAATCAACATTATTACCATTCATTAAACTTCTGTTTTCAAATGCACAAGATGGAGACAAGCCCACGGGTCCCTTGACACACGACACAGGGAGCCTATCTCTTAAACCTGGACCCAACAATTCAACTTACAAAAATAAACTGAAGAAACTCTATTTTCTGGAAAATTTGTTAGATGCAGAAATTCAAGAAAAAATTGATGAGGTGAAAAAGAAAGAAAAAACTGCCATGCTTATACGTTCCGGTCTTTTCGGTCCCAAATTTAAACGCCAGATCTTTCCAAAGAAATTGGAAACTGCCCAAGCACAGGAAGACAGCCTCGCCAAGGCTGAGCATGTAGGGAAAAAGATGCTGAGAGTGAAAAAGGTCATCAAGGGCCCCAAGGGCCTACGGAAAAGGTACTTCAAAGAAATGGGCCGTCAGAGCAACCAGAGGAAACAGAATGCCCAGCCATTTGTGGAGAACATGGCCAAAGAAAGAAGGCTCGGGAGACCATCTCCAAGGGAGCTGGAGCAGCTTCACATGGCGCAGAGGCCCAAGAAATTAGTGGGAGACTCCTTCAATACAGAGCCTTCATTCATAAAGGAGCACAAGGCAGCAGTCTCTTCCTTCCTGAAACAATACTCATTGGGCAGGCCTTCTGCCTCCACTGCTCCGAAATCCCTACCTGAGGTGAAAAACAAATCAAAAGACTTAACCTACACCATTTTTGTTTTAGAGGATGCAAATGCTAGAGTTAGGAATATGAAGGCTCCCAGACCAGTCTCACATTCTGGAAAGAAGTACATCTTTCATAAAACTCGCTCACGTGTGGTCCACAGAGAACCCAAGGCCAAACAGAATCGAAAATTCAAAAAGAAAAGTCCTCTCAGAAATAGACTGATGCTGGCAAAGAGGCCTCCATTCTCTGCAGTCAGGAGCCTCATAAATTCCCCCTCACGGGAGGCTTTTTCATCTTCAGGAGAAATGAGTTCTCAGGAAAATCCTTTTCCGGAATTATTTACTCTTTCAGAACCAATTAGGGAAAACACCACTGTGGAAAACACTACTGCGCAGAATGTTTTTGAAGAATCTATTTCTGCAGGAAATATGACTGTGCCAGAACAAACCCTCCCTGAATTCGGGAACCATGAGAATCTTCCCAGGGCACATTCTGTGGCTACTGGAGACAACTTTATGCCAACTGTTAAACAAACCAATGAAACACAATGGGAATACCACAACGTGGGCACTGAATTGCCCCCGAAGCCCACAGAGTTCACTGTGTCGAAGCACTCAGCCACAGGGGATCTATTTGAAATTCAGCTAAACCAGCAACTACGGTCCCTTATCCCCAATAATGATGTGAGAAGGCTCATTTCTCATGTTATCCGGACTTTGAAAATGGACTGCTCCGAGACCCACGTGCAACTAGCCTGTGCCAAGCTCATCTCCAGAACAGGCCTCCTGATGAAGCTTCTCAGTGAGCAACAAGAAGTAAAGGTGTCCAAAGCAGAGTGGGATACGGACCAATGGAAGACTGAGAACTATATCAATGAGAGCACAGAAGTCCAGAGTGAACAGAAAGGGCAGGAGTCCAGTGAGGTGAGGAAAACTCCTGAAACATGGGATCTGGACTTTGAGTCAGTTTAGGAAATGCCATGAACTCACCCAAGCCCAAAGACCAGGGGTGGCCTAGTCTGGGTCTTGTCTTGGCCAGGTAACGTTGGCTGAGACACATGACCTGCCACTTTGCTCATTTAGTGCCACTATCCCCCGGGTATATGAGAAGGGGACCTAATGTGCAAGATAAATAAATTTTGAAGAAAATGCTGATGATAAGATTACATAACACCTTAGATTTGGTATGTCCCTTAAGACTCTGTAAGCCACTCATCTGAAAGAATGGGGTTTTAGAGTAGCTGAAGAATAGTTAGCTTTTATCCTGTCTTTTTGTTTTCTAAAAAAAAACCTGTTCTTTTTTTTTTTTTTTTTTTTTTTAGCTCACAAAAGAAGTTCCAGGTTATGGCTATAACAACAAACTCATCTTGGCAATATCTGTGACTGTAGTAGTGATGATTTTGATTATAGTTTTCTGTCTCATTGAGGTAAGGACAACCATTAATTCAGATTTCCAGAATATCTTCTATCTTTATAATAGATTCAGAACCCACAAATTGAAAATCAAAGCCACTTTTCCACCTACTACTACTTGATATTCCTCTTCAGTCTGGAGGACTGAAATCTGCTTTGTTCCTTTACTGCCAAGTATATTCCAGGGAATTTTAAAAGAACCCCCCACTGCCAGGAGATCTGTGGATTGTAACCAAGGCAACAAGCCATTAGACTGTCTGAGACATTAAGTTTAAGAAGGCCAGAGTTGACATGATAGTAACATTTCTTCAACTCAAAATTATGTTGATTAGATGTACTCACCCATGAGTCTCAGACTGCCACTGCTTTCTTTCCTTGGCTGAAATGATGACAGAGAAAGTCTCTCCACCCTCCTGGAACCATCAGCCATCCTGGAAGAAAGGACACGACTTACAGATAAAAGTGTCATCTTGTTGATTCATTAGACTTACTTAGCAGCTTTCTCCTCCACTGTGTAAGGTGTTGTGTGAATAGCTTCAGTTCAAACACTGCAGCCCAAATCCTGCAGCAGGCTACCTCGAAGCACCTCAGATTTATAGTCTGCTGCTGGAGCTTGCCTGTTTACCTTTTCTTCAATCCTTTAATGACTTCTTCCTTTTCCCAACAGGCAGGTGCTAACATTTTTTAAAAGAATGATTTAACAATGGGCGCCTGGGTGGCTCAGTGGGTTAAGCCGCTGCCTTCGGCTCAGGTCATGATCTCAGGGTCCTGGGATCGAGTCCCACATCGGGCTCTCTGCTCAGCAGGGAGCCTGCTTCCCTCTCTCTCTCTCTGCCTGCCTCTCTGTCTACTTGTTATCTCTCTCTGTCAAATAAATAAATAAAATCTTAAAAAAAAAAAAAGAATGATTTAACAAGTTGACAGTCTTGACTTATCCCACCAATCCAAACTCATTTACCTTGTGTACCTTTTCTACTGTCCTAGCAGGTCTCCGTTCCAGCCAAAGCCACCCCTCACCGCACCCTAGTCACCCCATGCCCATTCCTGCTTTTGTTGGTGCCTTTGCCCATCTGAAATTCCCTCTTAATTCACTCTGCCTGTGGAAGTACCATGAGTCTCTCAAAAGCCAATGCAAGTTCATCATTCTCCAAAGAGCCTTCCCTGAATTCTCCAGCCCTCCTGGTCCTAGTCCTTCTGTGAGATTTGTCACCATTTCTTAGGGTCCATATTGATGCATTCCCCTCCCCTGAAAACAATAATAAGGTAAACAACTTTTTAAAAGGCAGCTCCCCGAGAGAGAAACAAAAAACATCAACACATGGAGCAGAGCAGAGCTATGTAAGCATCAAGTGGCTTCCTGGTTTATCGGACTTAAGTAAAAATGGACTGGATATATGAACTGCTAAAGAGAAACATGTCTGTCTGCAGGAAGGTTGGTCAGTAGTAAAACCATAGAAATGTGAGGAAGAGCCCACCATGGGCCGTGCCCATCCTAGGCTTCCCCAAGAGTAGAGATGGCCCCTCAAGCAGCATATGAGCGTTAAGCCCACTAGTGAGGCTGTGCCTGTCGGGGAGATGGATGGATCTGGCTACTTCAGTCCTTTCCGTCAAACACTGGATTCAGCTGGTTACTTTCCTTCTAATTCTCTTCTCACCAAGTAGCCTTCTAATTGTGTTTCAGTGCGCCATGGAGGCCAGTGTCCCCGGGAGCTAGTTCCCAACCATGTAGACACAGATGCCCTATCTGCGGAACAGATATATTTCCCATTGTCAAGTGATAACCTGGCATTCTGATTTTGATCCATCCTGGGGCACTGATAAAGTGAGATTGCCTCTATAGGAAGAAGTGAGTTTGCTTTTGTTAAGGACAGAGTCTGACTGCTGAGCCCAGGAGTCTAGGAACTGGCATGGGGTCAGCTTACCAAGGTCGCTGGGAAGATATATCACTGTCCATTGTCCTGATAGTACTCTCTGTATCTTCAGGTGGCCTGTGGCTGAAAGCCAAAGCTTTCAGGGAAGTTCTGTAAATTCCTATTGCTGTTTTTAATTTCTGTGTAGTTTAGCCTTTTGTTTGTATTTATGTGGTTGCATTATTTCCTCTCCTTATTTTGATGATGAGCTTTTTGAGGACGGAGACCATGCAGTGCTTTTCCTGCAGTAGACAATAATGGCGTTCAAAGGAGGAGAGATGAGGCATTATGTCGACTTCACAATGAGCAATAAGGCAGCCTAATATTTGAAGTAGCATACAGAATCCAGCAATAGACAGACCCATGTGTTCCTAGGACTTTTGAAATGTTACCTTTTAGTATTCAAATCAGTGGAAGAAAAGAAGTAAATGGTAATAGAACAACTGCTTGATTATTTAGGAGGAAAATAATAGCAGAGCCTCATTTCTCACCTTAAACATATTTCAGTAAATGTAAAAAAAAGGAAAAGAACCCGTAAAACTGTTAGAGGAAAACAGAAGCAATATTTTTTATCATCTTGTGATGGGAAAGAGCTTTATGATCTGACACCATGGGCAGAAACCTTTGATAGATTTAATCATCTTGTCTGTGACACCATCAGCAAACTTGGCACTGATCTATGCCAAGCATAGGAAGAATCTCCCACACCCGATTTAATCCCCACAACCCTGTGAGGATGATATTACCATCCTTCTTTGATACCTAAAAGGGAATCAGCTAAAGGCCCCAGTGGCAAAACCCAAGGCAGAACCCTGTTTCGCCTGACTGCAAAGCCTGTGCTCCGGTTCCACTGTTTTGTCTCCTTAAAGATGTAAACACTGACAAATATTTAAAACATTGAAATTCAGTGAAAGCCACTAAAAGGATTAATATATTTTTATAAATCAACAGGAAGACCAACAATCCAGGGGTGAAGGGGGCGAGGACTATGAAGAATGATGGGCAAGGACCGAATCTGCCAGTCCTCTCCTCATGCCTTCTGGCATGTGGGTCTTGTTAACGAGGCCTTTGTTGCCTCTCTACTGTTTTCTTCTATACTCTTATAACATTTTATTTATATTTTTTAATATGTGTAGAATCTGTTTTGGTTTTGGGGATGGTTGAGGTAAGGGATCTAACTTTTTTCACCCCCTGCATAAAGATCCAGTTACTTTAAAATCTTTTATTGAACGATTCATTCTTTCTTCACTGATCTAAAATACTATTTTTTATCTAGACTCAATTCAATCCAGTTTCTTTCCCTGTACCAGTATCACACTATGTACTTAATTCCAGTTGCTTTATAATAACATATTTTGATGTCTGGTAGGGTAAGCTCCTGCTCTTTGATCTTCTTTTTCTCTCATTTTGTAGCTAGGCTTGCATATTTTCTCCACCAAATGTCATCCGGCCAGTTTTTGTTTTAAAAAAAAAAAAATTATCTTGGGATTTGAATAGGATTGCTTTGAATTTATAGGTTAATTTGAGGAGACCTGACATCTTTGCAATATTCTAGGAAGATGGTATCTCCCATCATGTATTCATTTCTTCTTAAGAACTCTTCCTTCAGAAGAGTTTTAATATTTTCATCTCATAGGTCATACCCATTCTTTGCTATAAGTTTACTCCTAGGTACCTTATGCCTTTTATTGATATTGTAAATGGGATCATTCCTCCATTCATTGATTAGCTATTTATGGAATGTAGGATCACTATTGTGGTTTGCATGTTGAGCTCTCCATTTTGTATCTAGCCATCTTATTGACTTCTCATACTTAAGTAAAAATTTAGTCAATTCTCCTGGGCCTCTCAGGTTGTTCATAATTTCATAGGCAAATATGTTTTGTTTCTTCCTAATACTTCATTTTTCCTACTGCATTGATTAGGACCTCCTCAACAATGATGAATAGTAGCCAGAATAATAGGCATCCCACTCTTGTCCTTGACTTTAAAACAATGCTGCTGCTTAGGTTTCTGGTAGATACTTTTCTTTTCCTTCTTCTAAGAATTTTTATTAGGAATTATCTGTTGAATGTCATCTAAAACCACCAATAAAATGTATTGCCAACTGCACACAAGATCCCAAGTTAGGTATTGTGGAAGAACAGAGGACTATTAAACCAAATTCCTGTTCTCAAAAAAGTTATCCTCTCATTGGCTAGATAAGACCTAAAATACAAAGGAATGAAAAAGATTTGGATGCAGTGGTCATCGAGATGGGTAACTGTGATCATGTTTTCTTCCAAAACAGATTTATTCTCATAGAACAGCATCAGAGGAAGGTAAAGAAGGAAACTCAAGGTAAATATTAGTCTGGCAATTGTTAAAGTAGAATTTTAGAACTAGATTTTAGAACTCCTCTCTATTTCAGTCCTCTTATTTTACTCCCAGGACACCACCAAAGGCAGAAAGAACATTTATTTGGCCTAATGCTTTTCCTGGATCCAGCAAAATTAGCTCCCCAGCCAAACCTGAGTTAGGAGGAGACTGGCACAGAGCATCTGCTGGTCACCAATCTTTTAAAAAAAGAGGGTGGTATGGGGAGGTGATGGTTCCTGCTGGTAGTGAGCATCAAGCCTTCTCAGAGGCTCCGGGGAAAGGGTAGGGAGGGCCACAAAATCTTGGGCAAAGAGGGCTAGTCTTCAAGGCTGATGGAAGGCAGAATATATGACTCCTTCTCATAAAGTTGCAGGAAAACTTCCCTCTTCCTCCTCCTCCTGGTTTTCAAGTCCCCACTCACCATTCCCTTTGTACAGACCCCATAGAATTGTAACTGGGAGAGGCCTTAGATAATAGTTTGTCTCTTCCTTTTATAATAAGGAAATGGAAAAGAAGCAGGGGAAGGTAAATTGTCCCATGGTCATACTGCTAGTGAGTGTCAGAAGATGGCTCCTTTCCAGCCGGGCACTCCCTCTCTGATTACACTGCCCTTGGGCTGTGAGCTACATTTTATGTCACAACTCAATACACACATACCGTAGAGATATGAGCAGTTTCTAAGACAAACTTACCATATACTCTCATTTTTTCTATACTGTTTGTATTCAAAAAGAATATTTTGTGTTTTAGTGCTGGTTGTGACCTTTAAGCTCATTTCACGACTCATTCATCAGTGACAGCCTACAGTGTGAAAGGCAGTGAGCTAGATAACTTTGCTGGTTGGACTCAGGCATTTTCTTGGTGCAATTCAACTTGCAGGATAAAGCAACTAGGGAAATAGAAGCACCTCTCCTTCCCCCTCCCCAGCAAATGATGCCTATGAGACTGAGTGCATTGGGGACCACTGTAAAATGCTTCTGGAGAGAGTAAGGTGCTTATTCCGTGCAGTTGCCCAGTTTGTTCACTGCATGAGGGCACTTGGCCAAGGTCCCAGGTGAGCGGGATGAAAATCCCGCCTGCATGCCATGTTGAGCCACATGCAAAGATCTCCCCAGAGACATTGTGGGGCCGTTATGGATAGATGTGGGAAAATTCTGGAAGCCCAACATGCTTGGGATTATTTTCAAGATCCCAGATCTGTGGTGATTCTGCTTCCAGTGATTCTGGACGGAGGTGTCCTAATAAGACCAGAGATACACATTGTGAGAGTTATGGAAAACGGCATGAGTCACTAATTGTGTGTGTATTTCCTCCAAGGGGCTTCTTTCGGTCTCTGCTGCGGAAGAGATGCTCATCCGAAAATGAGAATCAGGTAAATCTGAGCAGGATAAAGCCCGTGGCTGCAGAGAGCATGGGAAACGCAGAATTAACATCATCCTTTCTGTTTTCTAGGAGGGCTTTTTCTGGAGAAGGCGGCCACTTTGGCTTCGGGACATGTACAGACCTCTCAATGCCACACGCAAGAAAAACATGGCACAGAAGTTACACGACAAGGATTCTTCTGATGAGGATGAGATTTTCAACAAGGAACCAGGGTACCTGATTTACGGCTCTTATCTCAAATGAGGAAACTATGAAAAGTTGAACTGTCCCTTTGCAGAGTAAAAGCCTTTGGCATTCTTCTCCTTTTTGCAGAGAGAAAAGTGAAGCCCCAGCAGAGAAGGCTCAGGCCACAGATTCGACTGCTGAAGAGCTGGGTGAGGAGAGCGAGACCGCCGCAGAGACCGTCACGGAGTGAGCCCATCCTGCCTCAGGCCACCTACAGAGTTTATTTTCTGATATTGGCTTCTCAGCGTTGCTTGTAAAATACTTATTTTTCTCATATTAAAATGTATAAGTTCATAACCAATTCTAGCCACGTGGTAAGGAATTAAAATGGAACCAGTTAAACATGTATTATTGAGACAACAGGGGCCACGGGCACAAGGAGCAGGACTGAAGCTAGAATCCCTCGTGGGCGCCAGCGTCCTGCCTGAGGAGCAGCGCGGGCAAAGGAGGATGAGTAGGGGTGTCTCTCCCTCATTTCCCTGATCAAATTAGTCTCTGGAAACCGGAAAACATATCTTCAGGGGGTGTAGACTGGGTAATTAAATCAATGAGCAGTTTATTCTGGTGCTCTCTTTGCTGGCTCACCAAGTCTCAGTAATTCACAACACACTTGACCTCTTGCCCAGAGAAGATCATCTATTTCTGGCACCTCCCGTAAGGGCTTTGGCATTGCCGGAATATTTGAATCACTGAGCCTAGCTCCACGGCAGGCCTAAACCCTAACTTCCTTCCCAAGTGCGCAATCTCGTGCACAAAATGTGTGCCCTGTCTTGGCAAGTAGAGGGTTCTTCACCCTTTGAAGGGAGTAGATAATTCACATTGGGGGTTTTTTGGTTTGTTCTCTTAAAAAAAAAAAAAATCCCAACCCTTGGGTAGCTGGCAGGGAGGGGCTGAGGGCTAGGGTAAAGAAGAATGTGTGAGAGCAGTAATTACCCAAGACTGCCCTCCTCAGTCCTTGATTTCAGAAAACATAGTGTTGGGGCCACTTACCCATTCGCATGTACGGCCCTCGCGTCTCCTGACCCCACTGAGGGTCAGATGTGCGCTGCTTGGCTCTCTCCTGCGCAGCCCAGCACCAGACCTACCACCATCTTCCTCACCAACACCAATCACAGCTGCATGATTCCAGGGGATAATGCAGTGCAATCTTTGGAAAAGGCAAGAATTCCTCCACTCCTGCGATGCCTGGGTGGTTCGGTCGGTGAAACGGTCAACTCTGGGTTTCAGCTCAGGTCATGATTAATGTCCGTACACGTAACTGGTGCTCATCACTGTGGGGGCTGGCGCTGGTGAACGTCGGAGACTGGGGGATCGCATGGCTAGCTTTCAGGTGACTTTTACGAGCTGGTTTCCATAGATCCAAAGCTGCTGCTGTCCCTCAAAAGACTGCTGAGGTCACAGCAGCGCCCCAAAGTCCCCAGCTAGGTGACTAGCGGGGAGCATGGAGTCCCGCATGCAGCCTGCGCATCTGCCCCCGCAGACGAGGACAGAATGGCTTCCAGCTCCTTGTTACCTCCCAGATTTCACACAGGTACGCTGTACTGGCAGAACTCTGCTGTCAGGGGAATCTGTGAAACCTGGTTCGTGGGCTTCCAGCACTTTAAGGGAGACGAGGGTTCTACTAGGGATGTGGCCACGAGCTGCTCAAAACTGTGTTTGTGTTTGTGTTCAAGTCTTCACAGGCCAAGCCGAGCTGAATGAAGACGAGGGCTCGGAGAAAGAGAAAATTTAGAGAAAGAATCTGTCGCCCTCAACACCCACATGCCCCACCCGTCCTGAGCCCGTCTCCGAGAGAGAGGGGCCACTCTCACAAGCCTTCTTATGCTCACCAAACTACTGAAGTAGGGCAAAGAGAGCCGGGAGCTGGCAGAAGCAGAGGTTCTGGTCAGGACTGCAGGTCAGCAGGGATTTGAGGGCGGGAGGGCAGGGCAGGGCAGACTGAAGATGACCAGAAGGCTCCACCAGGTTCTTACCGTTGGAGTCCCAGAAGGTCACACTGGCTGGTGGCCGCCCCCATGGAAGACAGGGCCTCTCGGTCCTGGGGCACACCAGGCACGACCAGCTCTGGTCCTAGTGGGGGTGAGATGTTGCTGAGACCTGGGGGATGGCGGTGGAGCACCCCTGGGGGTAGAGGTGGGGAGCACCCTCCTTCAATAAGAGGAGAAGTCCTAGAGGCCTGAAGCAGAAGCGGAACCGTGCTTCAAGGTAAGGCTTTCTGCGTTTCAGGCTAGCGCTGGAGAGGGGTCTGGCACCACACCATGGATGGTTCCAGCTTTCAGGGCCAAAGTAAATTGAGACTTCAACCTGCGAACAGCATAAAGACTTCACGTGGATGTGGGCGACACCCCAGAATGGTGGAGCCACCAAACAGTAGGAGCCTGGCTCCCTGACACGTGATCCACCAAACCAGCCCAGACTGCTGTGCTTAACCAGATGAGAGAGCAATAAGCTTCTTTTTATCTACCACATGACTGTGTTGGGTCTCTACTGTGGCTGAACCTATAGCCTAATGAAGGAGTAAGTACGAGTACTGGGTATCCCTCGCCACAACAATGCTAACTGAGAAACCATCCCCAAACTCAGTGGACTGGAACACCAGTTCTTGCAGGATGGCCAGGACAGCTGTACTGGAATGTTCTGCCGGCTGGGCCAGCGCTGCCTCTCACTGCTGGTCTACAGATCCGCAGGGCTAGCTCTTTGCCACCTGTGTTGGTTCTGGGGCCCAGGCTAGAGAGACTACCAGAAAAAAGCATAATAAGAGGCCAAACAGAAACTTCATCAGGCCTCTTCAAGCCCAGTTACAGAACAATCACACTTTCATTTCTGCCCGTCTCATGGGCCAAAGCAAGTCACATGGCCCAGCCCTGAGGCAGGGGACAGGAAAGCACACTCTGTCCACAGGGACACACAGCAAGAGTGTGGACGCAGGGAGGGCCAATAATCCTATCTTTCCTGGGATGGGACCGAGTCCTGGTTTAGAGGTTATGTACCGAGGCCCTGTTCCTCTAGGTGTCCTCCGTAAATGGAGCAGAGGGAAAGATAGTCCATCAACGTGAAGGCCCCACCGCAGTTCTCTATTAGGGCAGGAACCCTGACAAGGCAAGAATCACATCTCCTTCCTCTCCCCAATGCCTAGTACCAGACCCTGCCTGCAGTGATGACTCAGGATCTTACTGGGTGAATTTTAAACCACTTCTTCATTCTCCACATATGATTTCCTTATGAAATAAACTGACCTCCTACAGGTCAACATATAGTGCTATGAGTTTGCCCCAGAAGCTGCAAAGAGACTGCGCCACTGGGAGCTGGGATTTGTACATAAATCTGTCTACACTAAATCCCATATCCACTGCCTCCCAAAGGAACCTCCAGAAGAAAGGGCTTCTACAAGTTAAACATCAAAACAGGGTAGTGAGGGTCGTCTGGGTAGCTCAGCTGGTTGAGCAACCAGCTCTTGGTTTCTGCTCGGGTCATGATCTCGAGGTCCTGGGATCAGCCTGTGTGGAGCTCCACACTCAGTGGGGAGTCTGCTTCAGGATTCTCTCTCCCTCTGCCCCTCCTCCACCCAAATAAATAAATCTTTAAAAAAAAAAAAAGGTAGTGAAATTTCTTTCTCTGGAGTCCTTTTGAAACTAGAAAGATTCTCATTGCCTGAAACATCCTAAGAGGGAGGCTGTCTAAAGGCATCTGCATGGACTTTGGACAGGGAATCTGCATAGACTTCAGACAATTTGAAGAACAGTGAGATTCGCCACCACAGCCCCCAAGCTCCACAGGGCATCCAGCCCCTCTCATCATCTCTTTTGCCAGCTCTCAGGGCAAAAGCAGAACCGGCTCCCTTAATTTCTGCCTTTCCCCACAGACTTCACACTCCAAAGGAGAACCATTTGAAGAGAGCCGGGATGAACCCCAGAGAATACCACCATTGCCACTGAATTCCAGGGATGGAGTGTGTGGGTGGAAAATATATTTTAGGGCAGTGACTCATGATAAGTTGCTTCCTCCAGTCCCTAAATGGGACTATTCAATGTCAAGCTATCTCGGTCTCGGGCTGATAAAAGCAGACGGATAGGGAACCTAGTGTTGTTATGAGCTGTTGGTCAGCATACATGAATATAAATACGGCTTGTGTAACTTTACCAAATTCACAAAGACATATCACTTGCAGTTCTTTATGCTCCAAGTGAAAGAAATCCTACTAATACGCTTGAACCAAAAACGTCATACAATGGATCAGCTCATATACCTGGGAAGCCTAAGTGCTGGCTGCATCTAGGGCTCAAAGAGCGTCATCCTCTCCCCCATCTGTCCCTCAATTGTGCTTTCCTCTGGTTTCAGGCTTTGAGGGACACTGATGTAGAGGAAAACCCATCCTTAAAGCTTGGACACCGTATCTGGGAAGAGGAGACTCTGATTGGCCAGCCATGGTCACGTGCACATGTGAGGTCAGGCCTTAAACCAGTACTTAAGTCCAGTTAAAGCACAGAGACTGAACTGAAAGTTGAGAGGGAGGTTGTCTTACTGGGAGATAAGGAGGTGAGGTGATAATGGAGAATCAGAGGCTGAAGCTAGATTTAAGGAACACCCACAGATGCGAATGTCAGTAAAATACAAATTCACTTAGGAGCAGGAGTCCATGATAATTTTGGGTCCTTAAGTATTTTTTCCCAATTAGTAGATCCTAAAGGTAGAACTACTATCATGAGCAGGTCCAAAGACTCTTCTGTTTTTTAATATTCGATAGGGATTCTTAACTGCAGATGTGCTCCAGCAGAGAGAGTAAAGAAAGCAAAGAGAAGGGATCCAGGAAAAGGCCAACCCAGGAAGCATCGAGGGAAGATTTCAGGGTGAAAGCTGTGGGACAGGTCAAGGAGCGAGCTGGAGCGCAGGGGAGGACAGAACCCAGACAGAGGGCGACACGAACAATATTACATAGTCACAGTTCTGTTAACACTATCAGTTACCGGGAAAGAGTGACATAACCAAACACCAAAAATGGACTGGGTTGTTAAAGAATTACTTGTCTGTGGTACTAGGAAGTCTGCTGACAGTAACTAAAATGGGTAAATCAAGAGCTAGAAGCACAGGACAGGTGGAGATAAGCACCAGAAGATTCAGCCAGAAATAACCAGCCCCAGTGACCTGGCTCAGAAGGGTGGGCATGGGGAGAGGCAAGAAACTTCCGTGGGTCATTACGTTCCCTCATCATTTCATTTCATACTATCTGAACTGTAAACTGTCTATAATGACATTTGGGGTTTTTAAAAAAATTCATTATTTTGTCAAAGCTTTATTTTTGTCCAGCTTTATTGACGTATAATTGACAAATCAGTAATTAAAAACACTTTAAATCCATTTTTTAAAAGGGTGGGGAGAACCAGCTTCCTACAACAGAACCCAGGAGAACATTAGCAATTCCAGTTTTGAGAGAAATGATTGCATTAGTACTAGTTTGATGACTTCAGTCAGCTGCCAAGTAAGGATACATCTGGGGTTCAAACAAGAAGGGCTCTCAAAAAATAAGAAAAAAAGAAAGTCTCTCCAGTGCTCAGAGAGCAATTAAAAGCAGAGATCTGATTGGATTGGGAAGGTGAGAATTAGCTTGAACAATAATATAGCCAGTCATCTTTTTCTTTTCTTTTAAAAATTTTATTCATCCAGGGACTCCTGAGTGGCTCAGTCGGTTAAGTGTCTGCCATTTGGCTCAGGTCATGATCTCAGGGTCCTAGGATTGAGCCCTGAATCTGCTCCCAGTTCAGCGGGGAGTCTGCTTCTCCTTCTCCCTTTCCCCCTCCCCCTGCTCATGCTTGCTTTCTCTCAAATAAATAAAATCTTTTAAATAAATGAATAA